CCCCCCCCCCCCCCCCACCCCCTCCTCCCTCCCTCTCTCTCCCGTCACCAAATGGCTTCTCCGCCAGACCGCCCCCCACCAGACCTCTGCCTGCTCCGCAAACCGTCGCCGCACTCGAACCCAGCGTCGGCCGTTCTGGCAGCGGTGCGGGGACGGCTGGACGCGGCGGCGGCTGAGCCGTTGCCGTCGCGGCGGGGTCGCCCTTCGCCACCTCGTCCGCGGCGAACGGCCCCGCAGTCTCCCTACTACTTGCCGCCCACTCAGTCGCTGGGGCTGAGAGATCTGCGGCTGAGGCGCTTGTCGGCATCGGCCGGCGCAAGCACATCGCACCATGCCCGCTCCGCCGCTGACGGCGGATCTGTGGTCGGCGACGCAAACGCACAGGCTGGCTGTGATCTGGCGGCGGTGGTCGACACGGCGCATGCATCGCTGGCGGCAACCACAGACTGGCCGCGTAAGCAGTATGAAGTCCTCCACGATGACAGCGATCCGTTCCGGGTCTCGGACCCGTGCAACGATCCGCCGCCGCCGCCACCGCCGCAGCTGAGCACCTCGTTCTGCGATGGCGGCGACGGCACTGGTGAGAGCGCTGGCGATGGCACTGGCGAGAGCGCGACTAAGGCCAGCGACACCGACGAGTACGAGTATGAGTACGAGTATGACGATGCGCCAGCTTCGCATGCCTCGGACCAGCTGCTTCTCATGCCTGGCGGCGATGTCAACACCCAGTTCTTCGACGCGCTTTTTCGCAGCAAGCAGGCCGGGCCGCGCAGCGAGTACTCGTACTACACTCACGACGACGTGCCGCGCCGCCCGCGCGCTGACTCGAGCGCCGCGCTCCGCGCCGAGCTTCGCGCTCATTCCCGCCACCCCAAGGCGCTCACTGCAGTCCGACGGCGGCGACAACTGGCAATTGCTGCCCTCTTGCGCGAGCCACGGAGCCCCAAAGTCGTTGCCGAGGTCCGGTCGGCACTGCCTGCAGCACCGCGCCGTGCCGCGTCCGAGTCGCCGTCCCGGCACGCCCCGCCGGCCTCGCCGCCGGCCCGAGTCAACCTCTCGATGTATGACTTTTCTCGCGAGGTCGGTGAGCAGTTTGTCGGGCTCGGCTCCGGCGACGAGGACGATGCGTCCGGGCGACTCACCGGTCTTGACACCTCTGCAGTGAGTGAGCTCACCGACGGCCTTGCGTTCTCAGACTCGTCACAGTGGGCAGTCCGCGGCGCGCTGCCGCGTGGCACCTACCTTCCGGGCTACGTTGAGGTCGATGCAAGCAATCCGGTGACCACCATCAACAAGTCGATGGCCATGTCTCGCTCGCCGTCACTGCGCACGCTCGGGGCCGAGCCCAATGCCGTGGAGGCTGTCGAGCTCCCGCGAACAACGGCCAATGCAGCCAAGGCGCTTATCTCGGCCTCTGGTGCCAACTGCCGCGCCGCGCTTGACCTCCCTGGCTCGACGCTCGTCCATGGCGTGTGGGAGACGCTCGCCATCGAGTCCGAGTCCGAGGCCGCCGCCGCTCTGGGCGCCGAAGATCCGGATGCCGCAGAGACCATCGAGTCAGCTTGCGTCATCCTCCTTCGCATGCATGTCGTCCGCAAGGCTGCTGCCGTTTACATCGGCCTACTCCCTGTCACCTACGAGTCGACGCCGCGGACGCTGGTCGCCGAAACCGCGTCGACGCTCGACTTTGCCGACAAGGCCGTGGTAGGCTCGTTCAACCTCTCGCTCGAGCACTGCGAGACGCACGACCCCAAGGTCCAGTGGTTCCAGCTCCCGTCGCACCGACTCTCGCACTACCTCCGCCTTCGGTTCATCGGCGTCCACCAAGTGGTCTCGCCCGACGGCCCGTTCCACCAGCTCGCGCTTCTCCGCGTTGTTGCCGGGCGTGGCAGTTGACCCGGTGAATGCGCCCCCAAGAGTTGCCTCCATCCCCCCCCCCCCCCCCCCCCCCACCCCCAACTTGTCGCATGTGCGGCTGTTCTGTTCGAACGCATCCACGTGGACCAAAAGGGGCAAAACGTTGCCTTTGCCACGAGACCTTCTCTGCACACGCCTCTCTGCACTCGACTTGCTCCTCTCCTCTATACACAACAAGCATCATGCGTCCCGTCCCCATCCCCGGCCCCGTCCCTGGCCCCGCCCCAGGCTCTCGCTACAAGTACGCCTGGACCCCCCCCCCCCCCCCCCCCCCCCCCGGCCACACACACACACACACTCACTCTTCCCTCCCTCTCCTCAGCCGCCGCCGTCCGCAGCCGAAAGTGACCATCCACAAGGGTGTGCGGTGCGATATGTGCGGAGCGACGCCCGTCCGCGGCATTCGCTACAAGTGCTCCGTCTGCGATGACTTTGACATGTGCATGGCTTGCGACGAGATGTACTACGCCTCGCATTTTAACGGTGCCCATCCCATGCTCAAAATCCGCTTCCCGGCTGGCTCGCCGGGTTTGGTTGCCGACCCGTCACCAGTTCCCATCCCCGGCCCGGTCCCCGGCCCGGTCCCCGGCCCCGTCCTCCCCGGTCCGATCCACCCTAGCCTGCCCACGCCCGAGTGGAAGTGCAGTGCGTGTACGTTCATGAACAACCTCGCCGACTCGGCGTGCGCCATGTGCGGATCTGCTGCCCCGTCGCGCCCGCCGCCGCCGGTTGTTGGCGGCGGCGGCCGCCCGGGCATCGGCCAGCCTATGCCCCACGATGCCGTGGCCTACTCGGGCTCGGTCCGGCGCCCGCCAGTGTCCAAGAAGGGCGCTGTCAAGAAGGCCCCACAGGCCCGCAAGCGCGCCCTCGCCCGCGCCTCAGCCGGCGCGACCAGCTCGTGGAACTGCGCGCACTGCTCGTTCGCCAACTCGGGCGGCGACGTGTGCGCCGTGTGCTTTACCGACCGCACTGCTGCCGTCGCCAAGGTCAACGACTTTTCCGACAACGCGTACTGCGTCGATTGCGTCGCCGCCCTGCACAAGGCGCCATCCGACGCCATCGTGCCGGCCGACGCCACAAAGTGCGCCAAGTGCCCGACCTCGTACGGCCGCAACCAGCTCGGCCGCTTTAACGCCACCTGCGATACCTGCGCTGAGGCCTCGGGCGAATGCGCCATGTGCGCCGGGCCTATCGTCCATGAGCTTCCCGAGCCCATGCCGGACTTTGCCGTTGCCTCAGCCTCGTAAAGACCTTTGACTTCCCGCGTCGCGGCGCGTTTGGACAACCATTCCGCTCGCTGACGGCTAGAGTACAACTGGATCGGCGCTGTCCAGAGCCACAGCGTCGCTGGCCTGGAGAATGGCCACAAAGACTCGCTCGAGCTTGGCCGGGAACGACATGTCTGCGGCAAAGAACTCAAAGACAGCAATGGCGGCGAGGACAAGGACAAACTCATAAAAGACAAGCTCCTTGCCGAGATTGAGCTCGCCGTCGCGCTCAAACCCGGGACAGCCCTGCAGCGAGAGTAGCTTGGCGAGCACATCCAGCGTGAGCAGGCCGCGGAGCGGGGTTTTCAGCGGCGCCGTGTCCTCACCAAAAAGTGGCGACGGCACGTCGGTCGGTGCAGACAGCGCGCCGATGTCGGCCAAAAACAGGGCAAGCGCCCGAAAGGTAAGAACTGCGCCGACGTCGCCGACGTTGCCAAGGTCCGGTGCGAGGAAGAGGTCACGGAGCGTGGCAGGCGTCAGCCGCGTCATCGTCGTCACCTGCATCGGGCGCTGGGCCAGCCTCGGCGTCGCGTACTGCTGGGCCACACTGGCAAACACCTGCTGCAGCACCTTTGAGTACGAGAGGATGAGAGCAAAGCCGTCGGGCGCAAAGATCTCGTTGTCAATGAGCTCAACAGACTCGAGACGGAGTTGGATCTCCTGGTTGCGCGCGGATTCGGCGGCCTCGTCCACCGCCAGCGCAGCCTCGAGGTCGGCATGCCGGCGCTCGGCGGCCGAGAGCCTGCCCGACTCGCCCTTGCTCCGCGATAGGCCGGAGCTCGACTTGCGCGACGAGCCGTGGCGTGCCCGCGACCGGCCGGACCGAGATGTGGTACCGCTGTTCCCGCCATCTGCGCCGCTCGCCTCTGCCATTGGTGAGAGAGTGCCGATGCCGCCACTGGCAAGCGCTCCGTGCTCGCGGGAACGCGAGCGCTTGGCGCGTGATGACGACTTGCGTGACTTTTTGTGCGACGATGTCTTGGCCGACTTCGACGACGAGCCGTTGGCGGCTGACCGCCCGTGGCTCGACCGCTTCTTGCGGCCGGCGCCAAGCGCGGCGGACGCTGACTTGTTGAGCGCACTTGAGGCCGACGCCATGACACGGGCGAGCGGTGAGGCGCGCGGCGCGGCTATGACCGACGACCGGCGGTCGTACGACTTGAGCTCAGCACCGTCGTACCCAGCAGCGCCGACATGCCGGGCGGCGGCGTGCTCGGAGAGCTGCATGCGCGCCAGAATGACATCACGCTCCTCGGAAGGAGTGAGCGTTGCGGCGTCGACAAGCCGCTGTGCGGAGAGCTGCGAGAGGGCAGCAGATCGCTCGGCGGCCCGGGCGAGCAGGCTCGACTGGCCGTCGAGGACCCTGGCCACGTGGTCGACAATAAACGACTCAAAGGCCAGGCCCGGCTTTCCCTCGAGCATGGCGAGGAGCTTGGCCCACGTGGCGTCTGAGCCCGGCTTGACGAGCGCGATAGCCGGCGGCGGGTCGGGCGGGCTCATCATGAGGCGGAAGAGCGCAATGCGAACAAGAGTGTTGAGAAAGTCGCGGAGGAGGACGACCGCATGTGGTGCATGTGGCTGGGTGTACAGCTCGGCTTGGATGGCCGAGTGCGCATACGGCTTGGCCAGGAGCCGGTCGATGTCTGCGAGCGAGTATGCGTCCGACGGGATGCCGGCATCGACGAGAAGTTTCCAAAGCAGAAAGCGGTCCATGTGGTAGACTGCGTCATCCTGAAACGTGCCTAGCATCGAGTAGTACTTGTAAACTCGCCGGAGGTGCGAGATGTGGCGGAGGAGTGCATTCTGGAGCTGGGTCTGGATGGCGGTGGAGAGCCGCTCCAACCGGGCTTGCGACGGGATCGCCGGCGGCTTGCCGCCGGGCTCAGCCAGCGCCTGCAGCGACGCTAAGATGAGCATCGACGAAAGGTCCGAGATGAGGAGCACAATCGACGACGACGACAAGAGAGAGTGTGAGGCGCGGTTGAGCGGCGAGGCCGCGTTGAGCGAGGCGCGGGTGATCTCGTTGCCGGAGGCGTCGACCATGCGGTCGTTGTCAAAGGTGCCGTCAAAGACGGTGCCGTCCTCAAAGGCAAACACGCCGCGGCCATGCTTGACATTTGCTCGCCACGAGCCCTTGTACACGGCACCCGACGCGTAGGTAAAGGTGCCAAAGCCGTGGCGGGCACCGTCGACAAAGGCACCGACGTACTTGTTGCGGAGCATAAACTGCGAGCGCGCCGAGCGCTGCACAAACCAGGTGTGCTCGCCAGTGCCATACGGCACGCCATTGCGCCACTCGCCAGTGTACTGCTGGCCGGAGGAGAGCCAGAGCATGGTTCCGGTCCCGTGCTTGACGTTGTTGAACCACTCGCCCTGGTACACGTTGCCTGAGGCATAGTGCATGGTGCCTTTGCCATGCTTGGCGTCGCGCGCCCATGAGCCCGAGTACACACACGCGCTGGAGCCATCATAGCTCATCGTGCCGTCCCCCTGGCGGAGGCCCTCGACCCAAGCGCCTTCGTATCGGAGCCCGAGCGCCGGTGCCTCAAACACGCCGTGGCCATGGCGGAGGCCGTCACACACCTCACCCTCGTACCACGAGCCGTCGGGCCAATCAAACCGCCCGCTACCAGTAATGACATTATGCTCAAAGGTGCCGGTAAAGACCACGCCATCGGGCCAGGTGTACCTCCCCGAGCCGTGGAGCAGGCCGCCGTGAAATGCGCCCACGTACAAGGCGCCCGAGACAAACACGGCCTCGCCCTCACCCTCAAGTTTGCCATCAAGCACCGGACCATTCGCCTCGACAATGCCGGCGGCCCAGATGCGGGCATCAAGCGGTGGCGGGGGCGCCGTCGCGTAGTCGATTGCAAACGAGACGAGCGAGTCGACAGCGGCCCGGGCCACGCCGCGGGCCTCTGCCCGCCGCTGCGCCGGCGTCAGCTCTGGCGGGCCGTGCGAGTACTCGGAGCCTTCCGAACCGTACTCTGACTCACTGCCGCCGTCCGACCTGCTCTCCTCGGTGCCAGCCCATTCATGGCGCTCACCCCGACGCCCTCCGTGCCCTCCGCCCGCTCCAGGGAACCCGCTCTTGCCGCTCCCGCCTGCACCCGGCGACGGCAACAGCGCCGCGCCCGACGGCAGGTTGAGCGGATTCAGCAGCGCATACGACGACATGGACACCTTGCGCCTCCTCCGTCCCAGGTCCGTGCAAACGGAGTGGTGGAGGGAGATGTGTGTGTGTGTGTGTGTGAGGGGGGGGGGGGGGGGGGGGGGGGGGGGGCCAAAAAGGACGGGGGGACGGTTGTAGCTTGCCCCTCTTCCGTGGGCTGCCGTTTGGCGGTTTGGTCGTTTGGCTCCTCCCCGGGGAGACACGGCTGGCTGGCCTCAAGCCAGAGGGATTCGATGAGTGGAGGGAGGTTTTGATCTGCATATCAACCTCATCACGAGCCAGAACGCCCGCCCCTTGTGGACTGTCTCGACGGCGCACGCTGTTTGAATCCTCGTCTGCTCCGCCTTTGCCTCGCCTTGTCCCCGCCTCTCCATCTGCCCGCCCGCCTCTCGAATTGGGCAAGGCCATCCATCAAAGTCACTTGGCGCGACAAGGCCTGACCCCACCCACCACCGCCCTCCCACCAACCCCGTGCACGACGGCCAGGGCCGCTTTAACCTCGCCAGCCACCACTCTCATCCCCGTCACCGTCTTTCACCTTCGAACAGTAACGCGCTAGCCCACACTCATCATGGCGGCAACAGGCTCGGCCGGAATGGCCGGACTCGGACTGGCGGCGGTGCGGAAGCAGCTGAGCCAGACGCTCGAGGTGACGGCGCTGCGGCTGCCGGTCCGGCTGTGCAACAAGTTCCGGATGGCGCTGGCGGATTACTCGCTTGTCTTGCCGCGGACAAGAGTCATTATCGACGACGATCAGAGCGTGACCGGGCGGAGGTTCCCTAGCCCGCAGCCTGGCGAAGACGACAGCGACGAGTCGGCAGCGGGCAAGACCAAGCTCTTGCTGTTGGCGCCCGAGATCGATCTGACGCTGGCGCAGCTTCCCGAGGCCGCACGGGCGCTGGTGGCTGAGCACAAGCTTGAGCGGGTGCCGTGGAAGGTGGTCAAGGGCTACGAGCTGATGACGGTCCAAGAGGTGCTCGACCAAGTTCTGCCCGAGGGCCTGGTTCGGCAGTCAGCCTTCTCGACCATCGGCCACATTGCCCACATGAACCTCCGCACCGAGGTTCTCCCGTACAAGAAGCTTATCGGCGATGTCATTCTCGACAAGAACACGCACCTGCGTACGGTGGTGAACAAGGTCGACACCATCGACAACACCTACCGCAACTTTGCCATGGAGGTCATCGCTGGTGAGCCCAACACGGTGGCCACCGTCCGCGAGTCCGGCTGCACCTTTACCTTTGACTTTGCCAAGGTCTATTGGAACTCGCGGCTGGCGACCGAGCACGAGCGGCTGGTCTCGGTCTTCAGCCCGTCAGACGTCATCGCCGACATGTTTGCCGGCGTCGGCCCGTTTGCCCTCCCGGCCGCCAAGATGGGCGCCACCGTGTACGCCAACGATCTCAACCCGGCGTCTGCCGAGGCGCTCGCCGCCAACGCCAAGGCCAACCACGTCGACAAGAAGATCCACGTCTCCAACGCGGACGGCCGCGACTTTATCCGCGATCTCATTGCCCGTCGCGTCCCTTTTACCCAGGTCGCTATGAACCTTCCGGCCATCGCCCCTGAGTTCCTCGACGTCTTCATCCACGCCTTTCCGCGTGACGCCTACCCGGTCCTCCCGCGGGTCCACTGCTACTGCTTCTCCACCGCCGCAGACACTTCGGCTGACGTCCTCGCCCGTGTCACCGGCGTCCTCACCTCTGCTCCGCTCGACTACTCGATCTCGGTTGTCCGCTCCGTTGCTCCGCACAAGGACATGATGCGCATTTCCTTCTCGCTCCCGCCCGACACCGTGTACGCGCCTGCCATCGCCGACACCTCTGCCACCCGCAAGCGCCCTGCTGCCGACCTTGATGACGAAGCTGCTGGCGAGTCGTCGCCGGCCAAGAAGGCCAAGGGTCTTGGCGGTGCCGATGCTTGAACGCAAAGTAAATATACAGCTCATCGAGCCTGTGGCTTGCAACGACTTTGAGAAAGCAAGCTGGCGTGCGGCGGGTGGCCGGCCGGCGAGCGGCGGGTGGTGCCACCCCACTTGCTCGTTCCTTGTACGTGACGACCAGCGCCGGGGGGGGAGGGGGGGGGGGGGGGTGGGCATCCCCTACGACATACCCCCGCCCCCTCCCCCCTTCCAACATCCTCCCATACACTCTTGCCCATTACAGCTATCACCCCATGCATACCATGTCTCTCCAGCTAGAGCATGGCTTTATGGATGGCTTGGGCATGGCCGGTGGGCGCGAAACCGGACAAAGGCGTGTGGACTTTGCCCTGTGGAGGAGGAAGGGCAGAGGGGAGGGGAGGCGGCTTTGGGCTAGGGAGAGACTGACTCTGGCATGGATGTCATACGTGTGCGTATGTGTATGTGTGTGTGTGTGTGTGTGTGTGTGTGTGTGTGTGTGTGGTTGTTGTGGCGGTTGTTTGTTCTGCTGGCTGTGGTCGACTTGTGGCGGCAGGCCTTCCCATGCCCGTGTGCTGCCAATGCGGCGAGACCAAGACCCGGTCACAGTTCTCGCGCAGCCAGCTGCGGAAGGCCGAGGGCCGTCGATGCCTGTTGTGTGTTGAGGAGTCGTCGACCAAGCCGCGGAAGACGACATCGCTGCCCAAGGCCATCCGCATGGCTCCTGGCGACGAGGTGGCCGACGGGAGCGGGGCGGAAGCCGCCGCGAGCACCGGGCTTGGCTCGGGCTCGGCCGAGGCTGCAACTGCGGCGCGGCCGCGGAAGGGGCGGAAGCGGCGCAGACGGCGTGGGCGGCGCGGCGGGCGGCGGAATCGCAACCGGAGGCGCAAGGAGGCGATTCTTGCAGCGGCGCAGGCCGAGCTTGCCACGCCGCTCTCGAACCAGACGGAGCCGCTGGTCGAGTCGTCGCTGGCGCGGGCGACACAGCTTGGCGACGTGACGCTTGTCAAGATGCTGGAAGCTGTGCTCTCGTCGCTGCGGTCGGTGCAGGATTCGGTGCCGGACATTGGCGCGCCGCCGGTGCTGGACACGACCGAGCCGATTGCGGTGGCTATCGACGTGGGCGAGGAGGTGGCGGTGGAGCTGTCGACTGGCGGACGTGAGTCTGGCTCGGGGCACACCTCGGACGAGGTCCACACGGTGCTGGAGCTGCTGCAGACCCCGACCCGCGGCTCGATTGCACGACCGGGCAAGTTCAACACTACGCTCCCAGATTCTGACTCGTTTGCCTCGGAAGAGTACGATGAGGACGACGGCGACGTTGCGGGAGAGCTTAGCCTCGGCGGAAGCACGACCGGGCCGGCGGCGGAAAGTAAGTCGCCGGTGTCGAGTGCAGCGGCGCTGCCGTCGGAAGACGTTGACCTGTTTGACCGGCTCGAGTCGGGCGTGCCAGACTCGGCACAGCTCTTCTCGCCGGCCGGCTCGGACTCTGGCGACGACCTGAGTGCGTCGAGCGTGGGGCAGGCCAGGCCGCTGATGCGGCCGACGGCGAGACTGGGTGCGACGAGCACTCGTTCGACGGCGAGCACGGGAGCGACGATGAGGGCGACGCCGACTCGGAGTTTGACGCTGGAAGCGAGGACGAGTACGATGCAGGATCAGAGGCGTCGTGGGAAGACACGTTTCCGTTTGAGGAGAACATCTTTGCGCTCAACCACCGGTTTGTGTTTGTGGAGAACATTGCGACCACCAAGGACATTGTGGTGTACCGGGCGCTGGACCGCGAGACAAAGAAGCTTGTGGCGATCAAGATTGTGGACGGGCTTGAGGGCGAGAAGGAGCCCAAGGAGGTGCGGATCTCGGCAATTGTGTCTGGCCATCCGTGCGTGGCGCACATGATCGAGTGGTATCCGATTCCGTCGACGCAGTGCTACGCGATTGTGTCCGACTGGGTTGAGGGCGTGGAACGCGAGGAGATCAAGCCGCGGCACGCGTGCCTGTACATTCGCGACACGCTGGCGGCGCTGGTGCACGTGCAGGACAAGGGCATTCTCTACCGCGATGTCAAGCCTTCGAACATGCTACTGCGGCGAGATGGCAAGGGTGCCATCATGATTGACTTTGACTGCGCCACCTTTTATGACGGCGGGCGCAACCACCTGTCGCAGTTGGGAACCGAGGGCTACATGGCGCCGGAGATGATGGCGATTGCCGAGTTGCGCAACGAAGGCGTGCCCGACGAAGACATTGATGGCTACGGGCTTGAGGTCGACGCGTACTCGGTGGGCATTCTCCTCGGTGAGGTGCTCTTCCGCAAGGAGGACGAGGGCGAGACGTCCAAGGAGGACTTTCTGCGGTACATCTCGCTGCTGCCGCACTCGCAGCAGCAGTTGCCGCAGTACGACTTGCTCCTCAAGCTGCTGGAAAACGATCCGGACAAGCGAATTGACCCGCGCGAGGCGCTCCAGCACCCGTTCTTTAAGGATCTGCCGCCGATCGGCTTTGGCTCGCTTGAGTTCTTCGACTCGAGCGAGGGCGAGGAGTCGGATGACGACTCGGCTGGCGACGACGATTCGCACGACGGCGTCAGCGGCAGCGGGAGTGGTGGCGACGGTGACGAGTGAGCTCTTCACGTGTGGGTGGTGGACGGCAAGTGACGTGCTGTCATCGGTGGCGGGCGGGGCCGCTGCCGCCATGGGCCGAGTGCAGCTGCCAGCCCCGGGGCCACAAACGTAGCTACGTTGGTGAGCCAGCCGGCATCGGCCGGGTTGGCAAACAGCCCGTCGTCGTCTGCGAGGTAGCTGAGCTTGTGGGCGTTATAATACTCGTTGGTGGTGAGTCCTGCGGCGATGAGCCGGGTCTGGCGGGCGAGGAGGTTGATTGTGAAGGGCAGCGCGAGGAGGCAGTGGACCACGAGCCAGAACGTCCATGGATAGCCGGCGTACATGGCGGCGACGAAGCGGGCGGCGGCGACGATGGGGTCGTGTGGCTCGGCCGCGCCATAGCGCAAGTGGGCGAGACTAGTGGCGTTGACGTAGAGGCAGGCAAAGGCGATGAAGAGGAGATAGGTGACGTTGACGGCCCACACAAAAAGTAGAACATGCGGTGGTTGGCGGCGCCAACGCAGGTGTTGGCCCACAGGCAGTGGTGGTCGTGGCGAAGGATGCAGACGTTGCAGACGGCGCAGTGCTTGGCGCGCCGCGGCATCAGCACATCGCACGGAATGCAGTAGTTGGGTGGAAGGCTACCGAGCGTGAGGAGCGTGTCCGGATTTGGAAGCTCGGCAGCAACAGCGGCGAGCATGGCGCGTCCGCGGGCGCCGTGCGGGACGGCACCGGGCTTGGACGAGAGGAACGACGCGTAGCCGTAGAGCATAAAGTTGCCGACGCCAAACATGATCGACGAGAGCAGCAGGTGCGAGGAGGTGAGCCGAAAGTAGACGACCCAGTACGTGCCGCCGAGCGCGACGCACATGGCCAGGGCCATGCCCACAAACCCGGTGTTGGGCGAGCCGCGCCGCGGCATCAGCGCCGCCCGCAGCCGCCGCCGCCACATGAAGCCACCAGCGATCGCGCCCAGCCACAGCGCGGCATGGCCAGCCCAGTGACCGACTGCCGCCAGCAGCGCTAGCCAGACCAGCAGAGCAGAGCCGGCGATGAAGCCAGGTTTCCACGGCTCGGCAGCTGCGGCTGCAATGACGGCCGCATCGGCGCGGCGGGCAGCAGCAGCAACGACGAGCGCCGGTGGGGCGTTGGGTGGCAGTGGCGCATCGGGATTGCTAGCTAGCGGAGCAAGAACCCGCTCTTCGGCGCGAGCGAGGAACCGCGCCACGCCTGTGTGATGCCTCTCTGCCGCCGCAGCGCGGGCGGGCGTGCCATCGGGGCCGGTGGCAAAGACGGCGTGTGGCGGCAGAGCGGCCAGCGCCGCCACAACTCCCACACCGTCGCCAAGTGCAGCCGCCGTCCACAGCTCTGTGGCGTCAACCATGGACATGCCCGTGGGAGGGGAGGGGAGGGTGTTGGGGAGTGGTGGGAAGGAGGGGTGAGCGGGGCTTGCGCCATGTGTGTTCAGATCAGATCAGACCAGATCAGATCAGATCAGCCTCTCCCCACCCCCCCCCCCCCCCCCTCCCCGCACCACCTCCCTTCTTTGTGGAGGTTGTTGTCACCGCTGTCGTCAACGTTACCGCGACCACGACCTCACTCGTCTCTCTCACTCCATATCGCGAGTCGACAGGACTATGTTTGCGGTGCATGGTGCGCTTCGGACAGGAGTGCGTGCTGGATGGCGGACGGTGATGCCTGCGGGTGGGGCGAGCGGAGCGCGGCGGTGGATGGCGGGCGCAGCGGGGTCGGGCGAGGCGGCGATGGCGGGCGGTGCAGGTGGCGATGATGCGGCCGATGAGGCTGCAGGCGTTGGTGCAGGCGGACGGCAGCGACCGCGGCTGGAGGCACTGCGGGCCAAGCTGATGGCGGAGGAGGGAGTGTGGCCAGCCGGCGCGGGCGCGACTCGGGCGAGCGTGCGTGGCGGGGCTGGCAAGCGCGGCAAGACGAGGCAGGAGGGAGGCGGGAGCGGACTGGCGGTCCACATCCAGACGTATGGGTGCCAGATGAACGTGGCCGACTCGGAGGTTGTGCGGGCGGTACTGGAGGATGCCGGATACGAGTTTGCGGCGGATGCGGACGCGGCAGACGTGGTGCTGCTCAACACTTGTGCCATCCGCGACAATGCCGAGGCCAAGGTGTGGCGGCGGCTGCGGGCGCTGAAGGAGCAGGCCGAGGCGCGGACGGCGTCGGCACAGATGCGGCGTCGGCGGGTGGGCCTGCTGGGATGCATGGCGGAGCGGCTGAAGGAGCGGCTGCTGACCGAGGAGCGGCTGGTCGACGTGGTTGTCGGCCCGGACGCGTATCGTGACCTGCCGCGGCTGCTCGCGCAGGCCGAGGAGCGCGGGCGGCGATCAACGTGATGCTGAGTGCGGACGAGACGTACGCCGACATTGCGCCTGTGCGCGCGGATCCGGGGGCCAAGTCTGCCTTTGTCTCGATTGCGCGCGGGTGCAACAACATGTGCGCGTTTTGTATTGTGCCGCGGACACGCGGTCGCGAGCGGTCGAGGCCGATGGCGTCGATTTTGCGCGAGGTGGAGGCGCTGGCGGAGCAAGGCGTGCGCGAGGTGACGCTGCTCGGGCAGAACGTCAACTCGTACGCGGACCTGTCTGCGGCGCCTGCGCCGGGTTTTGAGACTTTTGAGCTCTCGTCGGGCTTCTCGTCGATTGTCAAGCGCGATCAGGGCGGCGTCCGGTTTGCCGAGCTGCTGCAGGCGGTGGCGTCCGTCGATCCCACGATGCGCGTCCGGTACACCTCGCCGCACCCGCAGCATTTTCCGGAGAAGTTGCTGCACGTCATGGCGGAGACAGCAAACGTATGCAACTCGATCCACATGCCGGCGCAATCGGGCTCGGACAAGGTGCTGCAGTCGATGCGGCGCGGGTACACCTTTGACTCGTACATGGAGCTCGTGGGTCGGATCCGCGACATTGTGCCGGGAGTGCATCTCTCGTCGGATTTTATCGCCGGCTTTTGCGGCGAGACGCAGGCCGACCACGAGCAGACGCTGCGGCTGATGAACGAAGTGCAGTATTCCAAGGCGTACATGTTTGCCTACTCGATGCGCGAGCGGACGCACGCGCACCGCAAGCTTGTCGACGATGTGCCCGAGGAGGTGAAGAAGGCGCGGCTGGCCGAAGTCATCCAGACGTTTCAGACCAATGCTGCAGAGCTGCATGCGCGCGAGTCGGGGAGCAGGCATGTGGTCCTCGTTGAGGCGCAGTCAAAGAAGCGGGCTGGAGGGCTGGTGGGGCGGACCGACTCGAACCTGACGGTTGCGTTTGACGGGAGCAGCGCGCTGGCACAGCTGGACGGGCCGGGAGTGGCGCCGCGGGCACCGCAGCTCGGCGACTACGTGCAGGTTGAGATCGAGAGCACCGGCTCGCACACCCAGCTCGGCCGCGCCATCGGACTGCAGAGCGTGCCGTGGGTGGTGTCAGTTTAGAGTGTTTCAGCGGAAGATGGCCGGCGGCAGCGAGGCTGTGTGGCGGTGGCCGGACTGAGTCGGGCGGGACGCCGAACGGGAGCTCGGATTGGTGTCTGTAGCAAAGGGTACAAAGTCGCCAGTGGTCCAGATGCGGCTGCGCGAGACGCGGTGCCACTTGGAGTGTGAATACTTTTCCCACACGCCCTGAAGCTGGGCCGACGGCTCGTTGGCAAGCACTCCGGTGAGGTCCAGAATACAAGCCTGGAGGTCATCGGAGGTGAAGCCCGAGTAGTAGGAGAGCGACGGCGACCAGTAGTTCCAGCCGCGGGTGGAGAGGGCGAGGCAGAGCGAGGCGGCAGCAGTGAGCGAGGGCGGGTACTTGAGAAAGTCGTACGAGTGGATGGTGCACTCGCAGTAGTAGCGGGCAAGCGAGAGGATCTCGTCGGGCAGGTCGTCGACGGCGCGCGCGTAGCGGACAAGGAATGGCAGCGGCGTCGAGACTACAAGCTCAAACTTGAGCGTCTGCAGGATGATGGTCTCCATTTGGATGACTTGGGCCCGCGAGTAGGTGTTGTCGGTGATGAAGACAAAGTCCTTGACCAGCGGCGGGTAGATCTCTTCAAACTTGGAGGCAACGAGCATGGCGGCGACGCCGACAAGCTGCAGCTTGCACCGCTTGACGTTGCGCTTGGAGAGGAAGCGGTCGATGTAGTTGATGGTGAGGAAGAGGGTTTCGGACTTGAGCCGGTACTCCTCGGCGACCTCGACGAGCCAGTCCATGAGGATAGCCCGCATCGCCGGCGTAATGTCGCGCTGCGCCGCCATGTAGTTGGGCAGCGGCGCCGTCCGCGTCTCGTTCTCCCGCAGCGCGGCGTACACATCCTCGGCGTACTCGGCGCAGTAGTTGGGGTCCGACAACACCGTCGCGTCGATGTTGGCCACCTCGTCGACGACTCCTGTGCCCGACGCCGACGCCTCGAGCGACATCGGCACCACGCCCGTCGGAGTGTCCACCGACAGCGCCGACCCGTTCATGCTCTCCTGAACGCTCTGCATCGAATCGTTCTGTGGCAGGTCATCCCTCTCTGGTGAGCGTGGAGCATTCGAGGGGAGGGCGAGCCGGCGCGGGGCGGGAGTGAAAACGAAAAAGGGCGGGAAACACAATGCATGTTTGGCGCCAAGACGGCCGGGGCCACTCCCTCCGCCGCAAACACTACTGTAGCCGGACGGGGCAAGCAAAGAAGATAGACAGACTGGGACAAGGGCAATGAGCTAGCGTGTTGTGGACAAGGGTGGCATGCCGAGTGTGGCGGGAGTGGGTGTCGGAACCGGGAGGTAGGCGTGGCTGTGTCCACGGGTGGAGGCAGCGGGTGATGGGCGCGCCATCATGGCGCGCAATTGCGTACCATTGAGACATTCTTCGTGAGCGCCACCAAGGCCCGCGCATCCTCCGCAAGCGAATGTGTAAGGTAGGACGAGGACGAGGAAGCCGTGCTCGTTGGTGCTGGGTTGTAGTTGAACATCGACGACATGATGCGTCGGTGATTGGGGGTGGGAGGGGGTGGGTGGGTGGGGTGGTGGGGGAGTGGAGCGTGCTTGGCTTGGCAAGAAAGCGCGGGCTCGGCCCATCGTTGCAGTCCGCCGCCTCCCGCCACGGCCGGGGAGGACATCACGCCGTCGTCATCGCCCTGCACTGGGTTTAGGGGTTTGTGACACGGGTATTTTAGCGGGGCCATGTGTAGGCGGCGAGTACGACTTGGGGTATGTGCGGATATCAAGGCCCCCGGGGCGGGGGAGGAAGCGATATCCTTGGGGCTAGTCGACGAGTGGGTCGCGGGCGCCGAGGACGACGTCGCGGAGCGTGTTGTTGGCGGCCCAGTTGACGCCCGACTCGAGGATGAGCGACTGGAGGACGTTGCGGAAGATGAGCGACTTGCGGTTGAGGAACTCGAGGTGGTTCTCTGCTTGGACGACGGAATGATTGCGGCGGGCAAGGTCGCGGATCTTGGCGTCGGAGAACTTGGCGACGGCGGCGCGGAGCGAGCGGTTGTGCTCTTGCAGGGTGCGGTCGTCCATGTAGATCTGGGCGAGTTCCTTCTCGTAGATGCGGGTGGCGGCGGTGAGCTCGGCAAGCTCGGTCACCTTTTGGTCGCGGGCCTTGATAAGAGCGACGACGGCGGCGTTGGCCTTGCGGTCGTAGTCTGAGGCGTGGAGCTCGTCCTGCGGCCACACATTGCTGGCCTCGTCCGGATGCAGCAGGGCCCGGGCAAGCTCAGACTGGTGGGTCCGCTCGATGAGCAGGTCCTGGCGGCGCAGCTCGAGAGTAGCGTGCAGCAGATCGTCCCGCAGCGCTGCGTTGGCCTCGACAAGGCCGTCGAGCAGAGCATCGACGGTGGAGCGGCCCGAGTCGACCGCAGCCGAGACTCGGGCGTTGAGCTCCCGCGGCAGCGATTCGAGGGCAGCTGTCACTGTTCGCGCGTCACCGGCCTGCTCTGCAAGCCACCGCTCGACCTGCAGCAGGAGGATGAGCTCTTGCTCGTCGCGGGTGAGCGCCGTGTCGGGCGCGGTTGAGGATGCGCCGGCGGGGAACGCCATGCTTGTTGCGTACAGAGACTGCGACGGGGAATGAGTGTGAGGATGTGGATGGGAGGGATGAAGGGAAAGGGGGCCGGGGGGGGGGGGGGACGGGCGTACTTTGGCGGTGGAGGTGAGCGAGCCGTAGAGGTCGTCGAGGGCGGTGGTCATGGCGGACGGGAATCTACGCTGTGTGGGGTAGGGGGCAGCGGGGAGGGGAGGGAGGCGTGTGTGTGCAGAGGGAGGGGAGGTGGATGCTGTGTATGTGCGTGGGTGGTGGTGGTGGTGGTGGTGATGTGGGTGGCGGTGGTGTGGTGGTGTGGGTGTGGGTGTGGTGGTGGTGTGGGTGAAGTGTGCAGGTGTGGCGCCAGCGCGATGTGGCGGGCAGCGGTCAAGAGATACCGCTGCCACGAGTTGCTATCACTCACGAGTGGCTGACCGAGGTTAAGCAGCTGGCACCGTGCTTTGCTAAGAGCTCCGATGGCGTTGACAAAGTCGGCTCGGGAAGAGCGGGAAGATACCGACTGACCCGTTCGATGACGATGCGCGACAATGACGACGGGCACTCTCTGGGCACACAATTCTTACCTTGATCTCGGGTGTACGCGAGTCTGCAGCTGCACATGTACGCGCGGATCACCGTGTCATCGGCACGATGGTCTTGCACTGAAGGCCAGACCAGTAGATGCAAGGAACACTTGCAAACCGTCGAGCCAGCGGAGCGACCGCTCGACCGGCAACTGAGAGTGTGTCGTCTCTGGTTTCGTATGCTGTATTTTTGGGATGGCTGGCTTGTTGTCTTGAGCGGCTGCCTTCTTGGTGTGCTGATATCGATGACGATGCTGACAGTAGCTATGGCCATGTTGCTGAAGCGCTGCGGCTCGGCCGCTCTAGAGTCGACTCGGTGTGAGAGAGACGATTCATGCGACCATGGGACAGTGAATGAGCTTCAACGAACTGCAAAGATAAAGCCAGGCCAGTTGTAGAGGACAAACCGGGGAACGCTGTGTAGGGGTAGGTGAACATGGTTTGAAGTCTTGCTCTGCATCAAGCACAGTCATTGTCTTAGAAGGAGGAGGAGTAAGTGATCTCAGCGGCAGAAAGACCTCTTGCGTGGTTTGTATTGTAGATGCAATGACGACATTGGCAGTTAGGCGTGTGCAAGCTCTTGCAAGCATGAGCGGCGGATATGTTCTCGCCCGCCCTGAGCGATACACCCTTGCTCTTGGACTCTTCATTGCAACATGACTAACTACATGTATGGTGCATGAGGGAGTACCACGGGATGGTAAATGAAGGGACAGACGCACTCGTAGTGGGATAGTGTTGTTAGCGATGGTCCGCTGGGCAAGTTTGGGTGTGCAAGCAATTTTTGCCGGTGTGACGTGTCCGCGGCGCTAGTGTGCTTCGATGTGCTCTCACGGGATAGAAAGCAGTCTACAACCCATGGCTAAAGCTGACATCAATGCACGTGCCACAAACATGCCTGATGTGGGGCTGACGAACAACATCGGTCCTTATTTCGTTGCACAGAGGCTCTGAAAGTGGGGCGTGGGTTAGGCGTCGGGTCGCCGCACGGTGTCGGCGAATTTGCGGCGGCTTCGGTCGACAAAACTAGCAGCGGCCTTCGCTGTGGAGACCAAGTCTTGTAACCTTTGAACCACCAGCAAGGACCGACATAATGGCGTACACGTACTCTGGCTACGACTCGTACGACTACTCGTCGTCTGGGATGGACGATGTTGGGGAAAAGGTGAACGAGCCGCCCGATGTGCTGGCAGCGGGAAAAAGAAACAAGGCGGGCGGAAAGGCAGGCAGCGGGGTGATGCTGATGGAGCAGCTTGCGGCTGAGGTGACCGATGATGAGCCGGCGGTGACTTCTGCGGAGCCGATGGATGCCGGAATAGCGGAGACGTCGCTCCAGACGGGGCTCTCGCCGGCGCAGGTGGCTTCGTTGCGAATGACGCACGGGTACAACGAGGTTGTAACAAAGCCGACGCCGGCGTGGCTCCAGTTTGCGCTGTTCTTCTGGGGCCCCATGCCGTGGCTCATCGAGATTGCGGCGGTGCTCTCGATTGTGGTGGGCGACTGGAAAGGGCTAGGCATCATTGTCACGTTGTTGGTGATCAACGCCGTCATCGGATTCCACGAGGAGCGGCACGCCGGCGCGGCTGTGGCGGCACTGCAGGACTCGCTTGCGCCCGACGCCACAGTCCTCCGAGACGGCAAGGTGCGTGTTATTCCTGCGCGCGAGCTTGTGCCCGGCGACGTGATCATGGTCAAGGGTGGCGACATTGTGCCTGCAGACGCAATCGTGGTCCCGCTCAAGCCTGTCGGAATGACGGCGGCGACGGCGTCGCGAGTGATGGTGGATCAGGCTTCGCTGACCGGTGAGTCGCTGCCTGTCTCGCGGTCGTACGGCCAGCGGCTGCTCTCGTCGTCGCTGGTCAAGACCGGCGATGTGACGGCGCAGGTGACGGCGATCGGGGCCGAGACTGTGATCGGCAAGGCCTCGTCGTTGGTCTCGGAGGCCTCATCGAGCGCGCCCAAGGGGATCAAGAAGACTCTGGTCAAGCTCTCCAACGTCATGCTCGTCATGGCCTTTGTGGTCGCACTTGTTCTTCTTGTCCACGGTCTTGTCCTCCACCGCGATCTGCTTGAGCTTCTCCAGCTGGTCCTAGTCATTGTCATTGCCGCCATTCCGGTGGCCATGCCAACGGTGGTGACGGTGACAATGGCCGTCGGCGCGCACCAGCTGGCGCGGGCCAATGCGGTTGTCACGGAGCTGACCTCACTCGAGCAGCTTGCATCAGTCGACATCCTCTGCTCGGACAAGACCGGGACGCTGACACAGAACAAGCTCTCGCTTCACGACTGCGTCGTACCGACCAAAGCCATCACCATCGACGACGTGCTCGACGCTGCGCTCTTCTGCTCGGTCAATGACGACGATGCGGTTGACCATGTGTTCTTGCAGGCCGGCCGAGCCCGCGCTGCAGGCGAGCCTTGGATCAACGTCTCGCGCACGGAACAGCTCCACAGGACCGAGTCCATCCGGGTCCCAGTCACCAACTCGGAGGTGCTCCTCCGGCAAGCGCGGGCGGCTTCGGTAACCATCGATACGGGATCGGCCGGGACTCAGCACCCGGTGGCAGCAGGCGTTCGCATCCTCCATCGTGTTCCGTTTGATCCGGCGGTGAAGCGGACCGAGGCCACCATTGTTGATTCGCGGTTTGGCGAGCCGTCGGTGTATCGCGTGGCCAAGGGCGCGACCCATGTGATCGCAACTATGTGTGGGCTTGACGACGACGTCAACTACTCGGCATCGGTTGAGCACATGGCCAACCGCGGTTACCGGTCGGTGGCAGTGGCGCGATCGGTCTCGAGCTCGCCCGACGACCCTGACGCGCAATGGGAGCTTGTCGGCCTCTTTGCCATTTTTGACCCGCCGCGCATCGACACGGCCCACGTCGTCCGGCGATGCCACGAGCTCGGCATTGAGGTCAAGATGCTCACCGGCGACCAGTCGATCATTGGGCGTGAGACGGCGCGGCTCATCGGGCTCGGCGACAACATCGTGACCGCTGACGAGCTCTTCTCCGACTCGCTTACCGACGCTATCAAGGCCGAGCGGGCCGAGGCGCTCGACGGTCTCGGCGAGGTCTATCCCTCGCACAAGTATGCTTTTGTCTCTCTTCTCCAGTCGCGCGGCCACGTGGTGGCCATGACTGGGGACGGCGTCAACGACGCGCCGGCGATCAAGGCTGCCAATTGCGGCATCGCCGTCGAGGGTGCCACCGCGGCAGCACAGTCGGCGGCAGCAGTGGTGCTCCTCAATCCGGGCCTCTCCGCTATCATCAACGCGGTCGAGGAGGCGAGACGGATCTTCACTCGCATGTCGTCGTACATCACCTTCCGCATCGTCGACTCTTTCCACGTCTTGTTCTTCCTCGCCATCTCGATCCTCTTCCTCGACTTTGAGCTCGACTCGATCCACGTCGCCATTCTTGCCATTCTCAACGATGTCTCGCTCGTCTCGATTGCCTTTGACCATGCCCGTGACTCGGCACGCCCGCTGAAGTGGAACCTCCCGTTCCTGCTCATCCTCGGTGGCGTCCTCTCATGCGTCATGATTGCCTCTACGATCGTCACCTACTACATCGCGCACAAGGCCTCGTGGGGCTGGCAGCTCCAGGTCGATGCTACCAAGACCGCAGTCTACCTCCAGATCTCGGTCTCGGGCCACCTCGCCATCTTTGCTACCCGCGTTCAGGACTCGCTCGCCGTGCTCTATGCCCCGTCGCGGGTTGTCGTCGGCGGCGTCCTCGCCTCGCAGCTCGTCGCCACTGCCCTTGCTGGCTTTGGCATCCTCATGGAGAAGCTCGCCTGGTCGCACGTTGCCGAGATCTGGGGCATCGCTGTCGCCACCTTTCTCATTGTCGACTACGTCAAGCTTGTCTTCCACATCTTCTTCACCGACGATGACGAGACGAGCGTCGCTGCCCCCGCGCGCGCTCCTGACAATGCTGCACCGCCAGCGGGCTCGGTCGCCACCGTAGCCGCGCAGGCTAAAGACCATTGAAAGAACGTGTTGCGGGAGTGCTTTTTAGCGAAGATCGGTTCCCATCGTAGGCAAGACGTGGAGGGAAAGGAGGAGTCAGCGCGTCGTGAGCCGGCGGTCAGCAGCGGTTCGTCAACAGTGGTCGTGCCATCCATCCATCCTTGGGGAGGTGAGGTCGGAGCAGGGCAGGGGTGGGCGGAGAGGGGGAGGGGATGACAAGACGTGCACAAGACGACACACACACACCTCCAGATACGTAAGACATGGCAGGGGAGAAGACGACCAAGACCAAGAAGGCGACCAAGGCCAAGGCCCAGGTGACGACAGAGGCCGGCGTGGACAAGTCGAGCAAGACAACGTCGGCGGGCGGCAAGAAGCCGAGCAAGAAGAGCAGCCGCAAGCGGCGGGCAGAGGAGCGGGCGGCGGCTCGGGCGGCAGCCGAGGCTGCGGCGGCGATGGACGATCTGGCGGGTGGCGGAAGCGACGACGGCGCGGACGACGAGGGCGACGATGGGCGCAAGACCAAGAAGGTGCTGGACGAGGCCGAAGTGACCGAGTACGTCAAGGCCATGAAGCGGCGGGGGTGGTGTACCTCTCGCGGCTGCCACCGTTCTTCAAGCCGCCGCAGCTGCGCGATCTGCTGGGCAAGTACGCCGAGGTGACGCGGATGCACATGGAGGAGGAGGACGCGGCCAAGGCGCGGCGGCGGAAGAAGCTCGGCGGCAACCGGCGGAAGAACTACACCGAGGCCTGGGTCGAGTTTGCCTCCAAGAAGGATGCCAAATCAGTTGCCACCATGCTCAACGGCAACCCGATGGGCGGCTCGCGGCGCAACTACTACCACTACGATCTGTGGAACATCAAGTACCTGCCGGGCTTCAAGTGGCACCACCTCTACGAGTCGCTGCGCATCGAGCGCGCCACCCGCGAGCAGCGCATGGCTCACGAGACGACGCAGGCCCGCCGCGAAGCCGAGTTTTACATGCAAAAAGTCGAGCAGGCCAAGACGCTCGACGCCATCGACCGCCGCCGCGAGCGCCAGGCCGACCGCAAGCGCAAGCGCGCCGGCGATGCCGCACCCGCTGCCTCCCCTGCTGACGCCTCGACCCGCCGCCGCTCCAAAATCCATCGCAAGTTTGCCCAGCGGACCATTCACGAGACTGCAGGCTCGTCGGGCTCTGCCCGGCCCAAGATGTCGACCCAGAAGCTCTCGTCGCTCTTTGGCTGAGAGCCCACTTTACTGCGGCTTGAGCTTGGCCACAGGGCGCCCGCCGAGCGCCGCGACGATGCGCGCGAGCAGGCCACTGCTACCAGCCGCGGCCAGCTGTGGTGCCGCTGCCGCCCCCGGCCGCAGATGCAGGCCGCCGCGTCCGCAGGGCGCCCTCGTCGGCCACGGCGCCGCTGCCCGCGCACATCCAACTGCGCATGCCACGTACCCGACCGCGACCGCGATAAGGCCCGATACCGCCGTCGACGCCGTCGGGAGCCACGAGGCGAGAACTCGAGCGCGGTGGAGTGCAAGCGGGGCGTGGTCGACGTCGCCGGCGCGGCCGAGCGCCTCGCAGGCGACCGGAAGCGCCTCACAAAACGTGGTCTCGAACATGCCGCGGAAGGCCTCCATCCGCGCCGTAGCCTCGCTGTACGCCACCTCGTGTTTCAGCGCAGCGTGCGCATCGTACGCGGCACGGGTGAGGTAGAAGCACGCCGACGCCACCCGCCGGCAGTCGGCCACCCGCTGCGCGAGCGCTGTCTCGGACGCGCACATCGCCGAGTACACCGATCCCGAGTTGTCAAACGAGACCAGCTCGAGCGTGGCAGCGTCGATCAGCTCGGGCGTATGCAGCATGTCGGCGTAGCCCGCCAGGCACACCGCGCCGGCCGCGTTGGCGCGCAGCACGTCTGGATGCCGCCGAGAGAGATGCACGTCGAGGTAGTGCTCCGAGGTAAATGCCTTGCCGCACAGCTGGCAGCCCCAGAACGAAGCCTCGGCCGGATTCTTGGCCTCCTCGTGCCCGGCGTACACGTCCTTGTGCAGCGCCAGGGGGCACTGCGCGGCGATGGCCGAGCTCGGGAGCCCGTACGGCGCAGCCGCCAGTGGCGCCAGCACAAACTCCTCCAGCACCTGCCGCACCACCCGCGAGCCCTCACGCGAGCATCCATCGACGTTGATCACATGCCCATGGGAGTCCTGCCCTCCCAAACTTCCAGAATTGGGCGTTGGGGTCGGCCCCGCCGTCGGCGCGGCTGTCGGAGCGGCGCCTGTGATGGGCAGCGCCGTGAGCGCGGTTCCCACGACGAGGAGCGCAACAGCGAGCGATAGTCTCGTTCGCATACGGTGGAGGAGGAGGAGAAGGTGGAGGAGGAGAGGGGTGAGGGGTGAGGAAGAGAAGAGTTGCCGGCGGATGGCCTTGCAGCCCCGGAGCCAGAGTGGTAACCCCAACTAGGAGGGAGGGGGGGGGGGGGGAGGGAGGGAGGGCAGGATCCATCGCCAGCCTGCGTCTGGCAGCTGATGCGCAATCTTTGATTGCAGGCGAAGGGCAGCTTGGCGTGGGGGTTCTGGCCAGCCCAAGCAAGCCTTCATGACGGGCTTGTGTTGCCTTTATCCCCAGCCCCCAGCCCGAGCCCACAGGCCCAGCCCCCATGCTATCCGATGGTCGACTTTGCCAGTGCCCTTGCTTCCACCAGGCCCATCTCCTGCCTGCCCCGACCAGGCCTCGGCGCCTTGCTCGGCTCTTTGCCTGCAAGCTCGTGGCTGATTCACGTGGTGCTCCGCGTGCCGTTCGCCTCCACCACCAAGCCATGCTCACTACCCCAGGCGTGGCAAAGAGCCACCTTCACAGCCCCTTTCCCTGCCTTCCCCCTCATTTCCCCTTTATCCTCCCCCCTCCCCTCCTCCCCTCCCCCCCCCTCTTCTTCT